TCTAACAAGACTAAGACACAAGCAGTGATGAAGGGCCTTGTCTGCAGCCATCCACTGATCTCGGAGCCACGTGATGTCAGATTCACTATTTGGGATAAACTTGTACATGTATGAATGGGAACACCGGTAGCAGTACTTTTTGACTAGTCTTATATTGCTACCAGTATAACATTTATTTCATTTTTTAAATATGAACAATTTTATTGACATGTAATTTCACATATTCTATAATTCAATGGTTTAAACGTATTAAAAGGAGCCGAGTAATCATTGCCATAATCAATTTTAGATGTTTGTTCTTTCTTGTACACATTACTGTTAGCTCCCCACTTGCCCCCAACCTCCCTTCCCATATTCCTAAGAAACGATTAATCTAGCTACTATCTCTTTAGATTTATCTGTCCTGGATTTCATATAAAGAAGACATACTACCACAACCACCACCCCCAAAAAGACAACAAAAATAATAAAATAAAGCAGAGAAAACCTCAATCGTAGAGAAGGCAGAAAGTACTAAAAAACTAGAACAAATTTAAGATGGATCAAAAGGCAGAACAAATGATGAATTTGAACCTAACTGCATCTGCATTAGTGCACTTGCCAATTCACACCCCTGGTCAATGGTCTGAGGGCGCTCACTGGAGGCTTAATCCATACAATTTATTTTAAAAGTGCAAGTTTGGTAGCTGGGCAGTGAGTCAGAACCCATTTGCATATTACTGCTGAGTATGTTTACACAAACGACAGTTTTAAATGTCAAGGGCTTAAAGAATCCTGTGAGAAAATCTTTTCCTAAGATTGGAAAAACACCATCACAGAGAAGTCATACTAGAATTATGATTGTTATCCCAGCATCGTTTACTCTTCTCATGAAAGAGAAAAGAGAAAAGGTCATCTAGAGCCTCCGTGTGTGCACGTGCATGTGCACATGTATTTGGGGACAGTAAAAAAAAAGTCACGCATCATGGATGTCTTCTGATGAAGAAATATAAAAACTGTGTGAGTCCAGAGCTTGGGAGTCCACAGGGAGAAAGATGCTGTTTCTCTGGCGAGTGGGTAGCAATGCAGAGTTAAGGCTACACTAGAGGTAAGATGCCTGTAACGCTGCCAGAAGCCCACACACTGGAGTTGGGGCTGAAATGTAACCTGTGCCCGCTGGCGATTAAAACTTCAATGCTGTAGGCCATAATCCAGGATAAAGTGTGGGGATCTGCTCTTACAGCCCCCCCATGGATGGTACCAAAGTATCAACCTCTCTGGAAGCACTGGATAGATAGAGGATCAGTGGAGCTTCAGTACTTTTTCCTTCTCCTGATAGATAAGTGGAAAACTATTTTCTGTCAGACAGATAGAACAAATGAGGAATGGAATTTATTTTATTTTATTTTTTAAATCATTTTATTGGGGGCTCATACAATGCTTGTCACAATCCATAAATAAAGAATGAAATTTAAATAGCATCTCAAAATAATTAATGGTTAAGAAAGGGCCGTGCTGAGCTGTATCTATATTAACTGAGCGTTCATCAAAGACAAGGTGACTCCTCACTTTAATGCCCCTGTTCTTGGGACCTGCTGACACTCACATGATTAGAGGATGGATACTTTTGGGATCATTTCTCAGATTTCCCTGGACAAGCTGGCAAGGAACATATAGAAACACAAATATTCATTTGATGTAAATGCACAAGTAGTTTAACTGGCACTGTAATCCTTCTCAGTGTCTTACTAGGCTAGTCAAGGCTGCTGTGAAGTTCAGAAACGTTCACATGAACATTCATTCCACTGGCAGGTCTTGAAGCAATTGTAAATATTCAAATCATATTGAATGTTTAATTCCTTTATGAGTACGTTGGCCTGAAATGTTTGGGTCAACGGCCTCTTACCTGAAGTCTTGACCCCTAGCTGTCCAGATGCCTGCCTTGGTGAACCTTTAACTGGTTTGCCTGTTGTTCCCCAAGTGGAGTGTAAGGCAGGGATCATCCATTATACTTGTTTTTCATCTGCCTTAAAGGGCCCTGCAGGAGCCCTGGTAGCACAGCGGGTGGTGTGATAGATAGGCTAAGGCTCTCCGCTCCCACAAAGATTTACAGTCTCTAAAGCAGTTCTCCTCTGGCCCATAAGGTTCCTATGAGGCAGAATCTACCCGATGGCAGTGGTTTGGGTAGCGCTTTCATGGGGGAAAGCACTTTTTATTAAATGAATGAATAGTTTAATAATTAACAAAAATGGAGAAGTGTTTTATTTTTTGAAAGAAAAGTTGAAAGCTTTAGCACAAAAGCTATTACATTTGTAAGTAAAATAATGAGTTTTATATAAATTGAGCTTCAAGGCACTAGGTTATTTTGTCTGCAAAAAAATTTTTTTTAATCAAGCTGAGACCCATTTCTCTCTCTCTCTCTCTCTCTCTCTCTCAGCAATAGGTTATTAAAATAAGCTGAATTATTCAGACATTGGCCAATTTGCTCATACTGTGGGAATACCAACCAGAGGGACCTCTGGTAGCAGTGCACGGAGGCTTGGTTCACGGAAGGGTGCGCACGATCTCTCATCCAGGCGCTTTCTCGGTGGGGAACAAGCCCAATAGGACTCGAACAAAGTGCCCACTGCCATGGACTCAATTCCGACTCGCAGTGAGCTTGTAGGGCAGACCGGAACTGCTGCCCAGGGTTTCCGAAGCTGTAAATCTCCCGGGAGCAAATGGCCTTCCTTGCCTTTCCACTTGGGAGCAGCTGGGGATGGAACTGCTGATTTTGAGATTAGCAGTCTGACACTTAAGCCACTGGCACCGGGGCTTCCTGTTCCCAGTAGGACCAAACGCACTGCCCCTGGAGCCGCTTCCAACTTAGCGCAGACTTAGAGGGCAGAATAGAGCTTCTCCCTCGGGCTTCTGGGGCCGTCAGTCTTGACCGGAGCAGACGGGCTCATCCTCTCTCCTTCCCCACCCGATCGGACAGCACGTCCCAAACCCAGCGGCTTCGGACGCTGCTGTGAGCACGCTCTGCGGCCCAGGCCCTCCTGAGGCCCAGCTAGCTACCAGCATCATCTCAGCGCACCCCATCATACAGACTTGTTTGGAACAACCT